CGGCAGGATGTTGTTGCTCGAACCTCAGCGCTCGGAGCTCGGAACCCACGTACCAAAAAACCCGCCGATCATTTCCTGTCAATAGGTTCACGGGGGTTTCCCACATGCTGAGAAACACGCCCCCCCCCTTCCCTTCCCGCCCCTGCGGCCCGGGGGCTCGGGGCCGGGCCGGGGCTGAGAGGAGGCGAGGGCAGGGCGGTGCGGCGCGGCCTGCGCAGAGCGGCGAGTTTCCGTTCGGCAGCGCCCAGCCCACAAGCCCCTCGTAGCGGTGGTGGGGGGAGGTCAGCGGGAGGGAGAGCGAGCTAGCGAGCGAGAGAAAACAATTTTCTGTTTGCCAGATCTGCCCCAGCTCTTCAGAGAGACAGCGAGCTGCCAGAGCCGGGGAAAGAGAAACCACAGAGAGAGACGCCACACATCAAAGCCGCCCAGCGCCAAGACCACCAGAGCCGGGGACGCGGCAGGGCAGGGCGGAGCTGTGCCTGGATCGTAGGGACCTGCTCCAAGAGTGGTGCAGCGGGACAGATGAGGGGGCGCTTAGCACCCGGGTGTCCGTGCCTGCCGTGTGGCCGCTTTCCTCACCTTCTTGAGTAACGTTGTGTGGGCAGCTGTGTAAGGCACTTTTTCACATATTTGCAACCCATCTGCACATGTGAAAGAAAGACAGAAAGAAGAAAAAGGAAGGAAGGAGAAAAAGAAAGAAATGAAGTAGAAAAGAAGGAAGAAAGAAAAAAGAAGGAAGGAAAAGAAAGAAAAATTTAGCGATGTCAAGAGTTGTCATCTTGACAGCCCTGGTAGATGAAGGATACTCTTCGTCCACTGTTTCCCAGCTCATTGCTTGTCAAAATGAGATCTCTCTGGGGTCTACATAAGGGACATTTGGGGGGCCAATACATCTCCATGGTCAGCTCTTGCCCTCGCCACTGAGACTGCCAATTATTTTTCCTGTTGGTAGTATAGAAATAATTGTATCAATTATATAAATGTTACTTATTTCTGTATTTATTGTGTTACCTTAGTTCTCAGGAGACCTTCCTGTGAAACTAGACTGCTGTAATAACTAATGCCCAACAGACAATAAAAGGTTGGTCCCTATTCCAAAGCACTTACAGTTAAAGTACAAGCTGACAGTCTAATGCTAAGCATAATGCATGGGAGTGTGTGAGAGAGAAGGAGGGAGATGAGGGCAAACATTTCATAGAGGAAGTCAGCCATGAGGACATGGATTGTTTCTTGGAGGATGTTCCAAACACACATGAACTTTTAGGCACAAGGATAGTACTGGGCAGTGTGAGCTGAAGGATAGTCAAGCGTAGCAGAGCAGAGGGCATAAAGGTGCTAAGTAATTTAGACTTAGAACTATTTTACAAGTGGAAATTAACTTGCATAGCTATAGCAGAATAGTTATGGCAATTATAGGCCTGTGAGCCTAAGAAGAGAGAGAGATCACTATAGCGGTATAGCAATAGCTGCAGTCATGCCATAATAACCGTCATTAAGAACACTGCCTTCCAAAATCAGAGTGACTTGACTTCGGAATAACTACTCTGCTTCAGAAACAAGACAATTATTCCACAATAAACTCCCTTTCATTCTGGAATGGAGTGATCATTAAGAGGCAAACTTCTTCATGGAATGGACACATAAACAGAGGGGCAACACTCAGGCCATAAACCTGGAGCAAAGTGCATTGTGATGATAACTGTACACAGACAAGCAGGCAGCGCAAAGTCTTAAAAACAAGTAGGCTGTGCATGGAAAGGTAAGCATTTGAAATTGGGAGCAAACTGGCCCTGACTCACCCAGAGGTACATTTTCCACTGTCAGAGTAGGGCTAGGCTTGTACCATGTGCTTATAGCCTGAGGTCAGGGACACATCAGCAGGGAAACTTTAGCTTTACTGAGAAAAGGGAAGTTTGAACACATGGTACCGTCCCTTGAAGTGAGATAAATCTGCTGTAGCTAACCACTTCTTCCTCAGTTGCAATGAGGCCCATCCCTTGAGGACTTCAGGCCAGGGCAAGGTCATTCCTTCTTGTAATAGCCATTTACTTGTACATTTACTAGATGCCCAAAGGCAGCTGCATCCAGACTTTTGCTTCAAGGTTCCATGTCTTGGGGCAACCTCTCATTGTGTTCTTATGGCCTAAATGTACAAGTGCAAGCTAAATTGATGCAGCCAGTTTGAACAAGGAAAAGGATGTCCTGTTCAGTTTATTAAACTGCACCTGACAAGGGGATGTCCCTTGTTTATACAGATAATCTCCCATTCTCCTTTTCTGGAAAAAAATTAGCAGCAGAAAAATGATTTCTTAGTGCATGGCCTATAGGAGCTCTTAGTTCCCTAGTATGATAAGGCAGCAAGATAAGTAGGCTGGTAAAATGAAAAGTGGTTACAAAAATGTAGGAGTCTCAGTTTAACATGTGAAAGAAAATGAAACTGTAATTAAAAAGCCACTTAAAATATTCCCCTCTGTAAAAGAGAGAAATGTTACACCACAAACAAATTTGTTACATTCCTGTGTGTGATGATCATGCACTATATTCGTTGTCTTTATTGTTTGGAATGACTCAGAAGCACCAAGGCAAACGTAGCCTACTGTATCTTTTGATTCAAGTGGTTAAAGTAAAAGGAAGGCATTTAAGATATTTTGGTTACTACCTTATTTTCTTTAGAAGTCAGTAACAACATGGTTTCCTTATGAAGTCAATACTGACATCATTGTTTCCTTTCAGATACATTCATGACATTGTTTAATGAATAATAGCTTGCACATAGATGGTGTTTTTCATGCATGCTGCTCAAAGGACTTTGCAAAAAGGAATTGGTCTTTTACAGAATGGGAAAATGATGCATAAAGGGAGGAAATGACTGACCCAAAGTCAAAGAAGTTGGCAGCAAAGTAAAGTCTAGAACAGGGGTAGACAACCCCTGGCACAGGTGCCAGTTTGTGGCACACAAAGGCATTTTGTTGGGTACGTACACCTCAGAGTGGACAGCAGAGAAAGAGCCTGGACTGCACTGCCACTGCAAGGATCAGGCCCTTTGCAGCTCCCCCATCATCTGCCCCTGGCACGCCAACATCTTTTCAGTTGAGGTTGCAGGTGTTTTGGGCACTCTGCATTGCCGACACCTGGTTTAGAACCTATATATCCTGTTTATTGGTGCCCTGCACAGTTACCTGAATAAGCTGTGAGCACTCTTCTGTGTCTGAATAACACAAGGCCCGTCCCATGAGACATGGGTAAACCTGTTAATAAAACCTGAACACTAATCTAGAGGTCTAGTCTAATGTGCAGTTGCCTTCTAACTTATCAGTACAATATCATTTAAAAGTGTATGTGATCCTATAAAATCTGGCATCTTGTTGGTAATGTTTTATTTGTTTAGGGCAGAGAAAAAGACCAAGATAAAGAGCAGAATTGTTTCTTGGGGGTGTGGTTAATGCAAAATAGGGGCAAAGTTCTCAGCTTTTCCTTTTAAAACAATATATTACAAAGATAGCAGACGTTCCTGTTCAAACAGAAACTTTGGCTTTTCTAACAAGAGTTCAGGGGCCCAGTTTTCCCTCTGCAGGATAGTAGGAGCTCTGGAGACTTTAGTTGGGATTCCCTGAGTCCTGCTCTCTGGAGACCTATATAACATGGAACAATTTTAAAATTACCGTGCATTGACGATCTCAACACATTTTACAGTGGTAACACCCCATATTCTTATTCTCTGGGTCAAGGAAATCTTGGGATTATGACACCCCAATTGTGTCTGACATTGGGGATGGGTTAATTATTGCCAGGAAACAAAGGCAAAGAGGGAGAAATTGATTTAAAATTATGTCTTTTAAGAGCCATCCACATGTTGGCCAAACCAGTACATAAGCCTGACCAGGACAGAAAGTCAGAAGCTCAGAGCTGTCCAATTAGGACAGTCTGAATATGGGAGATTTAAAAAAAAATGAGTAAGATTCAAATAGTCACATTGAAAGATGGGGTCAAATAATGGTCTACTACAAGTAATACATAGAGGACCCAGGTGACACAGGCACTTTACAGGCATAGAATAATAGCCAGTTCCTGTTACGAAGGGCTAGCAGCCTAAATAGACAAGAAGGAAAAGGGGACGAAGTACCACGATTTGCCCGGTGTCTTGTAATTGGTTGATGGCAGAGCTGGGACCAGAGCTCACTTCTCTCAGCTCACAGTAGGATCCGAAATAAGGGGTTTGAAGGAAATACTAATAGGCAAAATTTTAAGGGAAGTCACATTAGCTTTTTTCAGCTTCAGTAACATGTATATTCTCCGGTTTGTGATATCACTCGTTTATGGTGAAGAACAGGAAGTATACTGCCAGATCTTGGTGGGAGGAAAGAAACTGCAGATCTGAACTGAGGAAGGAACTTTTTAGAGATGCAGCAAGAGGGATACATTGATTGTGGGAGGAGCAGAACATCCCTGTGTACAACACTAGTTGTCGTGCCCATCTCTAGCAGATGGCCCTTATCAAGGATAGGAAGCTAGGTTCTGCTGCCAGCTAGTGGATTTGCTTCCTTAGCTCAAGTGATAAGAGGCTCATGCTTTGATGGCGCAGTTCCTGAAGTCTGTCACTGATGGTAACTCAGGGAGAGGTTATTACTTTTCCCTTCACATTCACTTCTTCCTACAACCTGCCTTTGTGGAAGGAGGCAAAATCTCAGACAGAGCAAACTACTTTGAAGAAATGTCTTCATTATAGAGAGGCATAGATTTGCTTTCCCCTGTGTAGACAAGACCTGCCTTGCTTGGAATCAGATGGGTAATGATTCTTACTGCTGCCGCTTTCATGTGCTAGTTTCACTGGCCCCCATTTCCCCACAGAGGAAGGACCTGAAGGCAATATTAGGTATAAGGAATGGCTTTAATTCCTAGAAGAAGCTATGAAAGAGAACTGTGATATCATGTGGATATGTGAGTCTATTGCCAGTCCGTCAAACACAGGAAGCCCAATACATTCTTACCTTGACACTTTACTTATGTACTTTAGGTACTAGTTAAGCTTGACTTAAATGTCCTTTGTCTAGTCCAGAAAAGGTTGAAACTCTTTTGAAGCACTTGCTGTAACAAAGTTTAAGGTGATTTGATCCTTGTACAGGGCTTTCTCCCCCCTGTTTTTCTATTATGACTGGTGGGGGTTTTTTTAAATAAAGTAGCTACAGCATGAACAACCTGAAAAGTATGTTAATGTGCAACTGAGCTCTGAAAATATGATTTTGCAGGGCACTGTGCTCATTTTACCTTAAAAGTTCTCATATCGCTGCCACTCCGTCAACAAGTAAAAGGATATAGCTTTCAAATACCAGTGAAACACAAAGTGAATTCTGAAAGTCCAGCTGAGTGTGAGATCACCAGTAAGACACTTGACACTCAGGACAAAGTTAACAATTATGTGCATGATGCATGTGCCAGAGAAGGATCCAACTTCTCTTAGAGTATTAATATCTGTCATGCTAGCAATCGTAACAGTTTTTATAAGTCAAGCCAGCAGTTATGATTTAGATACACAAGAGGCTCAGTTCTTTTGCATCTGTATGTGTTTTACAGAGCCTCTTTCCTAAACACAGCCGCATAGTGGGCGTGTCTACATGTGTGCTTTAATGTGCATTAGCCTATTTTCTTGTTCATTAAAGCATCACAAAAAATCTGTGCGCTTTCGCTAATGCGCATTAAACTAAAATAATGCGCTTTTTTCCTAGTACCTCACAATGAAAGTACTAAATTTAATGCACATTAGCAAAAGCGAATTAAGGAATGTGTAGACATGCCCATTGTGAAACACCTGTGGGGGAAATACGAAAGGGACAATATAAATTTGGTAGCTTTAGCTCTTAGTTTTCACAGTTACAGCTTTGCCCTACTTTTGCTCAAGATGCAGGCATGCTCTTTCCTTTCTGACCTATCCTTTCCTCACCATAGGGATTAGTTATGTAAATTGGGATTTTATCCCATGAAGGCAAATTTCAGTTCAAGT